GAAACAAAAATTAGATAATATGACTGTCATATATCTTATTATCTATATTATGTCATTATCATTCTTTGAAAACTGAAGAGAATTATGTTGTTATAGCTAAACGTGGATCATAGTTATATTTTGTTATACACCCCTTCCTGGAGTACATTATCTATTTGGTGTTGATACATTACTGATTAATATCAACCATATAAAAAAGGAAAAAAATTAAGCATGCATTCTCATTTATAAAAATACAATCAAGCAACTCTTCGCTATTTCCAACATATCACATTTAAATGTAGTTTTTTTTACAAAAAGTCAATATTTTTTTTATTGAGTACTTTCTTAAGCCTATAATAAACTAACATTTCATAGAATTAGAGAGAAATTCTGAATAAGATATTATATTAAATTATTTACTTGTGGACTGTGGAGCCAAAAGTTCTGTAGTAGTTTTTGAATGTAAATTTGCCACTTTGTTGTCTTTGGTACAATTAACTATCGGATGATATGCTTGGAAAAACTAAATGATTCTTGCGCGCTCCTCTATGAGAGGAAAATCCATGAAAAGTAGAAGCTATTGTTAAAGGAATATAAATAATTTGAATGGACAATTTACTGTCAATGTCCAAGTTTTATGCAATAATAATTCTGGAATTGGATTGACTTTATCTGAATGTTCTTATAGGATTGTTGATAAATATTTGTTGAAATTTCGAAGACAAATTGACCCATCCTTTCCTTTTTAATAATTTTGCCTTTATTTTCAAGATATCTTGGCTTGAAATTAATCTTATAAAGCCTAATACCACGCTCCTAAAAGCTCTATGATGTCGATGTTTTGCAGTAATACTTCTACGTTCAACTTTTCTGATTGCCTTCATATTCCCTATGAATAAAATTCCTGATCGGTGAATTATGACTGAAATTATTTTTTGGCTTTGTAGAATTGCTGACATTTTTCCTACGTTCAGTACAATTAACATACTTGCAGAAGAAGTTCAGCGCTGTAAAGGTAACCACCTATCTTATTTTCGTATATTTGTGCACGTTGGGTCATATTAATGCGTTCACTGTTGCTCATTTCCGCTGTACTGTCAATGGTTGCTGATGTCCACTATTTTTTTCTGTACAATTAATTTGTTTATTCCTTGTTTGTAAATTGATTTATGTGCGTAATAAAAACTTTGGCTTGAGATATTCGGTCTTTAGTTTTTGATGTCGTATCACGGTGTCCACTTTCTGTTATTTCACTTCGGGTCATGTTTTAGTTAAATTTATTCCGCTTAGTTAGCGAAGCTATACGTTTGGAAAAGTTCCTTTGCGTGGATGTTACACTACGAAGAAATTTTTTTTACAAATAATTATAAATGTTCCCCCTATAGGTACAAAAAGTTGATGTCCAGAGGTATTTCACTTGACTCCAATGTTACTTGTGTGAAAATTAATAGCCAAAACGTACTTCTTTTTCGAAAACATACCATGACATTATGAATCTCTTCCCATATTGTCTTCCTTGGGGTAACTGTATCTGTTCAAAGATAGCCTCAATTTTGTCACTTCGTGCCCTGTGATATGCATCTCAATGATAAAAATTAATACAATTCTAAAAGGCTATGACAATTTGCGCAGTATCATTTAAGAGTAGATACTACAATTCTAATGGATCATACAAAAAAAAACAAGCGACCTCTATTGGAAATGGATAGGAATGTCAACAGGCGCGAAAAATACAAAGCGATGTCCGTAGAGAAAAAGCAGAAGTTGCTACTACAACGTCGACTTAAATACCAAGAGTCAAAGACATGTGCACCTGCTGAGAATATAACTGTGGATTGCCTGACTGGAATAATGGATCCACCTGAATGCTCTACTAACACTTCTTACATTCTGCATCCAAATTAGAAGATACAGTTCTCCCATCGCTTTCACCTTATCTCACAAAGTTATCTCGCACTTTAAATAGTCAACTTCCTCTACACTTTCTCTTCAATGTAGCTTTTACTACGTCTAAGGATCATCCTCCGCCTTCTGCTTCGGGTAATGAAAGAGATGTAGTGCAGCCACTTTCTATCTATGAAAAAGGTGAGTATGCTGCCTTCAACGCTTACTTTTATACTACTTGTTATCATTTGGTTCCATCTAAGGACCACCTAACTTGGTCTTAGGTTCAACGTCAGTAGCACCCGGTGAGCTACATAACAAAGATTCCGAAATAGTTACACGTAGAGGTTCATTTGATTTTCTATCTGCTGAAACAATAAGTGTTTCCTTTCGTTCACATTAATTTTAACCGTCTATTTCCAACATATAGGTCGTGCACCAACTACAAAGTTTTCTCCAATTACCGGTCGGTTGCGTTCAAACTATGTTCCGCTGAAGAAAGTTCCAATCTGCAAATTTTGTGCAGCAAAGAGATTTGAATATGAACCGCTTGTATTTTGCTGTGGTAGTGGAACAATAAAGTTAACTTCTCATCAAATGCCTACCATGCTGCGAAATTTATTTCTTGAAAACAATGTGGAGTCTAAACACTTCCGAACATACATTAGAACGTATAATAACCTTTTTGCGTTCACCTCACTTGGTGTAAAGTATGACAAAGATTTAGCAAAGAGAAACTTTGGTATCAACACATTTAGAGTTCAAGGGAAGATGTACCACAGGATAAATAATTTGCACCCTACAAATGACAAACCAAGAAATATACAGTTATACTTTTATGATAATTGCAATGAGCTAGCACATAGGATGGCATGTTCCGACAGAATTCACGAAACAGTAGTGAAAGAATTGATGGATACATTATCAATAAACCTATATTCTGTGTTTTTATGATCTTTGGTACATGTATCAAACCTTCAAGATTTCCACATAGCCCTCAAATGCAACTTAAATTTGGACCAGAGAGTATACAATTTGCCGACTTCATCTGAAATTGCAGCAATATGGACCGAGGAAAATAATGGCGTTGCCTTGAATGCACCACATATTCAAATTTACCCTCACATTGATCGAACACAAATGGTGAATTACTATTATGGCTGTTATGATGCATTGCAATATCCGCTATTATTTCCGCTAGGGCAAAGTGGCTGGCATTGTGGTATTAAGAAGCACCCAGCAAATTGTCCTATGTACTTAAGAACTGTGCATCACGAAGAGGTACCAGGTATAAGAAATGTTACATCACTTGACGGATATCTTGAAATGGAAGATGAAATTCTTAAAAAAGGGACAGCGACGAAAAGATACTATTTCTGTTCGTGAGTATTATTGTTACAAATTACAAATGAGAAATGATGATGAAGATGAAATATTACATACTGGAAGAATATTTCAGCAGTATTCAGTTGATGAATATATTAAACTCGAAACACAAAGGTTGGATTTTGCAGCGTTCAATCAAGATTTATTTAGGATGGCTATGCTAGAAGGATTTCTTGACATCTTGTGATTGGGTGAACACGATGCTTCTAATATCGGGAAACAAAATTTCCTTCCAAGCTCTTTTATTGGAGGGCCTCGGGATATGCGACAACGGTATATGGATGTTATCGTGCTCGTACAATATTTTCGGTAAACCTGATTTATTTATAACCATGACATGTAATCCCTCTTGGACAGAGATAAAGGAACATTTAATTCCAATTGATGAGTCGCATAATAGGCCTGATTTGATCAGCTGAGTATTTAGAGCAAAAATAGAAGAATTCAAAAAGGATATACTAAAGCGAAATATCTTTGGAAAGGTATCAGCTTTTATGTATATTGTAGAGTTCCAAAAGCGAGCTTTACCATACACTCATTTTCTTATAATATTAACTAATGAATACAAATTACTTACTCCAGAGGCTTACGATAATATTATTAGTGCTGAAATACCTGATGAGAATGCAGAACCAGATTTACATTCGCTTGTTCTTAAACACATGATGCATGGTCCATGCGGTAATCTAAACCCAACAAATTCTTGTATGAAGAAAAAAGGTTACTGTAAATTCAAGTATCCAAAAAGTTTTGTGGACCAGACATCAAAAGGAATAGAATCTTACCCAACTTATAGAAGATGCAATATAGGGTTGGTGGTAAAAATAAGAGAACAATACTTGGATAACTCATGGGTTGTTCCATATGATCCTTTTTTGCTAGGCAAATTTGACTGCCATCTAAATGTTGAAATATGCTCTGATATTAAAGTCGTTAAGTATTTTTATAAGTATATATGTAAAAGTCATGACAAGATTGCATTTTCGGTACATAATAATGACACAAACGCAGAAGTAGATAAAATAAAGGAATATCAGTATGCTAGATGGGTGTCGCCTCCTGAGGCTATGTGGCGCTTGTATGGTTTCTCGATTAGTGAAATGTTACCGACCGTATGCCTTCTTCAACTTCATCTTAAGGGACAACATTTTGTTTCATTCAGAAGCAGCGCAAATGTAGATACACTTGTAAATAATCCACTGATTAAGCAGACAATGTTAACACAATTTTTCGAAATGAATAGAACAAATGCTGAGGCTATGGAGCTCAATCTATTATACCGGAAATTCCCTGAACATTTTGTTTGTCTTAAACAGAGAAGATGTGGACACCTCGGAAACAACGACATGTTATTGGTAGTGTTGTAACATGTCATCCAACGGAAGGTGAGCGATATTATCTTAGAATTCTATTAATGAATGTTAGAGGACCAAAATCATATAAGAATTTACTAACTGTTAATGGAGAACGTTGCAGCACCTTTAGAGAATCAGTGGAAAAACGACGATTGCTACAAAGTGACAGTAGTTTGCTTGAATGCATGTCAGAAGCAGCAAGTTACCAGATGTCATACAGTTTGAGACGTTTATTTGCTATATTACTGATTTACTGTAATCCTACGAATCCAAGACAACTCTGGGAAGAATTTGAAGAGCATATGTCCGAGGATTATATGTTGGTATCCAATATTAACAAAAAAAATATTCGATACCAAGTTTTGAACCATATTAAACGACATATTACACTCTATGGGTGGTGACATAAATGAATACCAACTCATTCCTGAAACAATAAGGCCTTCAGTAGCGGAAAAAGAGGCAAAGGAGGTACACTTTGAAAGGACCATCACGATTACTAATGAGGATATAATATTACACAAAAGGTTGAATAAATATCAACTTAAACCATATAATATAATTACAAAGAGAGTTTTTTCAAACAAAGCTGGGACATTCTTCATTGACGGACCTGGAGGAACAGGGAAAATCTTTTTATATCATGCATTGTTGGCAACTGTACGATCTAAAGGGTATATAGCATTGGCAACTACCACTTCTGGTGTAGCTGCATCTATACTCCCTGGTGGACGAACTGCACATTCACATTTTAAAATACCAATAAATACTGACGACAATGTGAGCTACAACATCAGCAAACAAAGCTCACTTGCCTATTTGATTCAGGATGCAAAATTAATTATATGGGATGAAGTATCTATGGCGAAAAAAAGAATGATTGAACTGCTTGATTTACTTTTGAAGGACTTAATGGATTCAACGATACTATTTGGTGGAAAAGTTGTAGTTCTTGGAGGTGACTTCATGCAGACATTGTCGGTAGTTCGGAACGGAAAAAAGGATGATTTCATTAATGAAAGTTTACTAGATTCTCATATTTGGGAAGAACTTGAATGGGTGCAGCTATTCGAAAATATGAGAGCGATAGATGATCCTTCATTCTGTAATTATTTGTTGCGAATAGGAAATGAAGAAGAAAAAGTAAACTCAGCAAATAAGATTGAAATTCCAACTTCTTTGATCATTCCTTATACAACCGAACAGGAATCTTTGGATAAATTATTAGCGATAACTTATCCAGACGTGCATATATTTTTTTCCTCCTCATGCTACACAAGTTCCCGCGTTATTTAACAACTAAGAATGATTTCGTCGACGATATCAACGACATGCTTGTTGCTCGTTTCCCAGAAGAATCAAAAACTTTTATTGGTATTGATGAAACTACTGAACATCATGATCAATCACAATTTGAGGATCTATTGCACAGTTTAAATCCACCTGGTCTGCCTCCTTACAAACTGACATTGAAACAAAATTGTCCAATTATATTATTACGCAATTTAAATCCGTGTGATGGTTTATGCAATGGAACATGTTTGACTTGCTGTGATTTTAAATCCCATGTTATTAGCGCCAATATTTCAGTTGGTCACTTTAAGAATACACATGTGTTTATCTCCAGAATACCACTATTATCATCCCAAGATGAAAAATGCCTATTTCATTTAAAAGGACACAATTTCCTGTAAGACTTTGCTTTGCAATGACTATAAATAAAGCGCAAGGTCAGACATTAGATTTTGTTGGAGTTTATTTGCGAGAACCTGTGTTTTCACACGGTCAACTTTATGTGGCTTTGTCCAGAGCAAAGAGTTCGAACTGCGTGAAAGTGCTAATCTGACCGACTATACCAGGTAGCGCGGACGATCACTACACAGATAACATTATTTACAAAGAAATCATCCAAAAAGCTACTTTATAGGGATATTCCGCCAAGAACAAATAGTATCATAACTAAAAAAATGAAATAGCTGACGAAGGATACTTATGATGTGCGTTCGGTCGATAGCAATCAACTTGTATTCGCTCAAGCGTTGAAAACTACAGCTGATGCTCTTTGCGCACATGACTGCTCCAACAAAGATGAATCAATAGGAGGCTGTAGCATTCGCTTAGATGATCGTAGAGAGGTATTTTTGCATGAAAATGTAGTACCAGAAAAAACAATTCGTTAGATTCTACAAAGTCATTAGGTATACAGGGGCAAGCTAATTAGCCATGACTGATCTTTTTAACTAATAATGCAGAGTTCATGTGCTAATTTTCACTCCATATAATTTATTAAATGGAAAAATTTAATCCGTCTAATCAGATCATCCATTTTATTATCTGTGTGTACCTGTTTTTTTATCTTTCGGTATATATTGATGATGTCTTTTTTCCCCCAAATGTAGAGCTACATAATACGTGGAGCACAGATTAACCATTGATAGGATTACTCCACAAACAAAAGCGTGGACATCAAAGGTACAACTCATTGAGAAACCGCGGCCAAGGCAAAGTAAAGATGGAAAGACGCGATTCCAGATTGCTGTTGTCCGAGATGAAAGAGTAATCTTCTAACTACCGTGTCACTTCTTATTCTACTGATTGAAATATAATTGCAATCGCCAGTATTCTTTAATTGAAAGAAAATAAACAGATCTATCTACTTAGGTAACCAAAAGTTTAATCATTTCTGTCACACTTGTTATGTGAGGAACTAAATATTTGAGGTGCTCTATGAAAGTAGATATTCCATATTTACCATTCATGTTTGTCTGATATTAGTTTTTTAGATAAAAATTGTGGTACCAAACTTTGGAATTTCTTCTTTGGATTACATATTTGTGCCTTTATAGTACTTTATTTGTCCAGAAGGATATATTTGCAGTACACTTTGCCGTCGTCGCATTTGAAATTTGCTTAAACTTCTTACATCTTTAGAAATTAAATGGCAAGAATTCAGAAGGCATGACCAATTTGATGGTAATTATTTCATTCATTAAATGTTCTTTCTCAAAGGCCACACTCTGATAAAACAGATGTCCATAAATTAGTCACAATGATAAGCTTGTCATTACGTACCTCTAATTATTTTTAGCTTCAAATTTATCTTCCGAGATATCATTATGAGATCTGTTACGTTATAAAAAGTAATATAAATCTTCATAAATTCTAGCAAGATGCTATTTGTGTCTTAGGAAGCCTTTTGAAAATCCAAATTATGCATTACAATAAACTCACGTTAAACTCAGATTACATATACTATTTCAAACAATAGTGTAAATGGAAGCATTCTTAATTGCCAGACATCTGATAGATCATGCATTTGTTGAACACGCACCCACTATGCTAATAATACCAGAAACAGCTCATTCAAGTACTTCAGCTCACAAATTACTTGCATAATACCAATTAAATATTAGGTTTCACACATACCTGGGCATAAACATAGGAATATGTTTCCTTTTAATTTAAAGTGCTCTCTTACGTGAAAGACTCTTCTCGATTGATTTTCATTCGTTAAGTTAGCACGTTAGACCTTTCCTTCAACTGTAGGAGTGTCATTTCATACTTATCCTTCCACGATTGATAGATTATTAAAACCATATTGTTTTCCTTGTGTTAACTGATCAGATATGCTTTTATTTAGTAAGCTGAAGGATTAAATGTAGACGTTTTCTCTAACGTAGTAAACTTAGACTTTCATAATTGACAGATTATTGAAATCATGGTATTGTCCTTGAAACGTTTTACGTAGTTGGCTAATAATAATACGAGTAACTAATATGTCAATGTCCTTTGGTAGTCATACATTGTATCCAAGTTATTATTCACCCTGCTAATTTGCAATCCTTTGAGGTTCATTTTATTTACTACCCTGTTGCAAACCTTTTGACTGCTACACTACGCATTTTCCATGTAATACCAATTCTCAGTTAACTAATGTATACATCATTTTAATTTTTCTGTTTACCAAGAGATTTTTTAACTTTCTACCTGCATGGAATACGAACCACACTTCGTAACATGTCTATTTGATGTCGTCTATAGGAAACTATTAACTTGCTTTCTCTACTATTACTACTGGACTATTAGTGAGACTAAGAACGGAATATCGTCAATCGCATTCAAAGTTGTTTCGAGCAGTAACAAGGTTTCACAAACAACTTTGGTTATGCTATTATTCTTCCATCGTTTTGTCCAAATTTTCATGTTCTCAAGAACCTGTACATTTAGTTATCCCTTACCCCCTATATTCCAACTTGAGATGGTGGCGTCATAAGAAAGGTAGCTAAAAGAGGTGGCAGCTTCAGCTCGGCCTCATAACAGAAGTAGCTAAAACTTTTTTAGAATTTCTGGGGTGGTCACAAAAAGTTTCCCGACTTAGTTTCTTCTCTCATTTAAACGTTTTAGACATATATAATTACTTTACATATTTTGTGATGCAATACAGTGGATTCTCTTTACTTTTGCTGCATGAGATCAACATCTGAGAATGGGGAGTTCAACTACACATTCTTTAGTTCAAAGAGAGATGCTGACTTATGTCAATGATATGAAACAATTTTAGTTACCATTTATGACTGACTAATATTCTTCCTCGCGCCCCTTTTTTTTCGTAGCGCTCTACAAATTCCAATTCCTGTATAGATTGGTTATCAATTATATTTCATGAGTTTGAGGCTGCTCATACTGTACTTGTTTACTATTTTAATATTTCAGTATTTTGCATCTGTATGTCTCCATGTGTCTATATGGATACACTTCCGCAAGGGTAGTTGAGTAACTCATCATTCTATCAAATTACAGGAAGAGCAAGTAGTCGTTGTTCTGTACGAGGAAGACATAGAAAAGTATGCAGACAAGCTCACCCCGTTTTCCACTTACTTGATATTTACTGTAAAAGTGAGGGTTCCTTTACCCTACGGAGTACCTATCAACCGTTTTGAATGTGTTAAGACCCGAATTTTCCACCATCGGGTGTCGTGATGGTGCCTACTGTCGGAGCTAGGCAAGCCGAATGTTTAAGACACCTTTCCTGCTTTCTTTCAACTATATAATAAGCGAGACAAAATCTAAGCGGAAGACTTTAAATTTAAAGCAACTAAAAACCAAAAGTGCCGAAGTTTGAACCAAAATGCTACCCAGAGTTTGGTGTCACTAGCTCACGGACTACTACAGAATGCTACAAACAATGTCTGAAAGGTAAATACATCATATTTGTCTGATACAAGATAAACAAACGAAAAACATGGAAAGGGACTTCGGCCTGCAAATGCCAGCTAGGCTACCTCGAGAGTCCCTGGACTGAAGATAGCTCCCAAAAGTCCTACTGCTGCGGTCCAAAAGCTGCTCCATGATCTGTGCACAAAAATGCACAGAGTGCAGCATCAGCACAACCAACCCCATGTGCTGGTAAGTACCTGGCCTAACCCCGANACCAATCCGCTCGAATCTAGTCATAAGTTACTCAATCACATTAATAATTACTAAATGGATCAATACCAATGCATGAAAATAATTTTTACAAGGTTTTTCCCAAAAAGGTCAAAATATCCCCGGACCCACATGGTCAAAACTCGAGGTTCGGACCAAAACCCGGTTACCCATTCTCCCACGAATCCAAATATATGCTTTGTTTTGAAATCGGACCCCAAATTGAGGTCCAACTCCTCAATTTGTAGAAAACCTAGGTTCTACCCAAAACA